AACCGCTGTTCTCAAGAACCATCACGCTGACCTCAATCTGAGAGCGGGGATATTTCTGGAGACACACAGCTGGCTGCAGACTCTCGTGCAGCATCAAGGACAGGTCCTTGTCCTGACTTCCCTGAATCCAGGAGCCCCTCTCGGGGCAGGAAAATGGTGCAAAACGCATGTCAGTAGTCAACCTGGACACACAAAGAAAGACAGATTTGAGTTGTCTTCATAAGTAGTTTCAACACACTATGGTACTTCCTCATATTAAAGCTACAAACAACACCCCTTAAGCTAATCACAGAGACGTGCGACTTGGTGACCATTTATCATGAGTGGGAATGCTAATAAGTACAGCATGTGTATTCTGATAACAATAGCACATTCATGGGTATAACAACATCAGGGTCGGTGTGGGTTTATTCAATATGTCTCAAGTGGTAATGTAGCCAGATGCTCTTTTTGACCTGCTATTAAATATTAAAATGGCAAAATCAAAAGGAAATTTGGCCAGGTAAAGGTCTGGGAGAAGGCTGGCATTTTATCTTGGCCAACATTAACTTTTTGTTGCACTTGTCTAGAAGTACTTCATCTAGTTTGAAGTATTTTTGGTCTTTTCAGCTCCCGTTGTATATTTGTACATTTAAGCTACATGTTTCTACATCTACTTTCGCATCTTAGGAAATTTTCGGAATTAGATGGTCTTACTTTAAGCAAGCTTTGATGTAAATCAAAGTAAAACCAAACCAAACAAATCAATAAAAACAAAAACACTACACACCGTCCACATTTCATATTGGCCTCATCTTTCCGCTCTATTTCTCTGGGGCCGTAAACGCAGCACATCAGCTTGGTGTTTCTAGCTTCAATGTACGCAGAGCCCTTAGCTTGGCTTACTAGCCCGCACCGGGCAAAAACGGGCCGGACGTCCACTTGATCCCGCTGCCGACCATCCTCTCTGGGTCCGTGCAACGGGACATCTGACGCTGGTTTGCACAAAAACAGAGACGGACTCTGGGACACGTCTGGTCCGCGTACTCGTTTGGTATCAGTCGGCATGGTGCGGTAAAACGAAATGAACTGAGCAGCAGCCAAACGCATGTGATTCGGTGCAGCACAAAACCAGTCCCCCGGAAACACAACAAGCAGAGAAATTATTCCACCAATTCTTATACACTGAAGGAAACTACATTGAGCCGTCAGTTTGCTAGTAATGCAGTCTAATAAATCCTACATTCATGAACTTACAAAGTTCAGTTTTTTCTGTTTCAGAGAGGGGTTCAACGGTATGATCACTGTCGAGGCTAGGGGTTGTGTTGCCTTTGAACTGTATTACATTAACTTAGAAAAGTGTTTGTTATTTCTTACCCTCACTGATATAAAGAAAAATGAATGAGTGTACATCAGCGAGTGAAAGGTCTGAGTGCATGAGCTTGTAGTAATAAACAATGAAATGTCCGTATCATTGTTACAAATTGTTACATTTACAATTATTACAAAATTGGTGATACATCATGATAACTATAGGCAATAATCTAAAGGCCCAAACTATAACTAGATATAACGACTACAAATTATAATTGAGGAAACCTTTTGGCTAAAGTTTTTATTTACGGAATTTGCACAACCACCTTTCTATAGCCAACTCGCAGCGAAAACATCCACTGATACCGGTGTCACATCAATTGCATCAGCCAAGCTGGGGAAGCTCGTAGCGTCGATGTGGCGGGCTCGGCTAAGATTGACAGTTGGCTTCTTCAATAGAATTTGACATTTGCTGACAAACCGGCGCGCAGAACCAATGGCCAGCTGCTGTGGGCGTATTCTATTCGTTCTTTTTGGAAAAGTCGCGTGGGCTAAGGCAGTGTTTTGGGAGTAGTGATTGATTCATTCAGTGAGAATAGCGACTTTTGTGAGTATTATCATTTTCTTGGGTGCGCTACACATAAATAACGTGCACTATATTATTCAGTGAAGTAGGTTTTATTTTACAGTTATGTGCTGAAATATTACTCTCGGTGAAAATGCAAGGGCAGCTTCTCAGGCTAACGTTAGCTAGCTTGCTCACGTCAGCTTGTTAAGCAAGTACCTCTGCCCAACTCAGCAGTTTACAATCAAACAACGACCTTATACTACTGCATGGTAGGATCACTTTGGGAGGAAAGACGTCTGACATGACTGGCACCGTTATATGGCACATGTTCCTTTGCATTGGTTACAGCAGAAGTGTAAAGGTGGCATGGTAACGTCACTGAGTTCAGTCAGCATGAGACAGTATAAAGAAACGGAGCCCCTGGGACTTAAGACCTGCGGATAACTAGCGTTAAATTTGGCTTGTGTTCTTGAGCAAAAACAATCAAAGGCTAAATTAAATAACGTTAAGCTAAGTTTTGGCATGTTTCATGTAGACAAAACACACGGCTGCTCTACCGACTAACATGCAGTTTGACTCTGGATATACGATGATGTCAGTGTAGTGTTGGTAAATCAAACGGCTTTGATTTTAGTTTATATTCTTATTTGCATCCTTGAAAACGGAGTTTACCTCTTGTTTTTTTTTTGTAAACAGCACAGATTTTTCAGACTATCAGACAATACACAAAACAACACAGCACACTTTTTCTGATGCCTTTAAATTGAGAATGTGTTAAACGTATAGTAATCCTCATATTTGTAAAGTTGGCAATGAACAAACAATGTTTGTGGCATTACTTGTTAAATGATTTCAGTTAATAATTGATTGCCATAGTTGCTCCTGTCAGTTGATCAGACCCCAGATTTTTTTTATTATTATTATTTTTGCCTTCTTTCATGGTTACTCCTTCAGCCTTGCTTTGGCCCATCATGACAAGTGTAGCATTCAGTCTGGGTTTAAAAGTAACGTAGCCCTCTCCATTAATTTCTATGGGGGATTGCGTTCACCACAGCTGGCACCAGCAAGCAGGGGCCTCCGTTTTGACGTTAACCCCATGCAGTGAAAAGGTGGATTTGGTTCACCTTTCACTGCTGAAGCTGCATCTGACTAAACTAATATTCTTTGTGCAACTGTGGCAGGGATAAGTGTCCTGTAGTGTTCCTATGTGCATTAAAAAAGTGAGTGTCATGAAATACTGCGGTAATATGACAGTGCTATGTTGTCACACATTCAGAAGTGGTTTATGAGAATAGCTGTTTGTTGGAGGAAAATGACAGAGTAGAACATTTCTGTTAAGACAGCTTGTCATGACACATGACTGACAGGATATAGAACTGAAAGAATTGAACAAATTGCCAGTAAGGTTTTATTATAGACTTATAGTCCAAGTCACTAATTAAACAAAAGATTCAGTGCTTCCACCTTGATGAGGTGGTTTGCTGGTTTTCTCTGTTTAGTTGTATGAAGTGTTAAATCTCTTTGGGTTTTGGGCTGTTGGTTGGTTAAGAGAAGACTTGACGAAATCACCTTACATTTTAGGAAATGCAAGTGGGCTTTTTTTTAACTAGGTATTTTTTGATATTGTGTTAACAGAGTAACTAGATGAATTGAGAATAAAAATAGTTGCCACCTTAAATATGTAGTGATATAATAAATAAATAAGGCTTAACTTTAACATCTCTATGACAATTAGACATTAGAAACACTGAATAAATGGTTTCTTGCATACATGAAGTGAAATTAAAAACAGCTGTCACCCTAGAGAGCTGCCTTTTTAAACATGCTTCATGGTTACAGTTGTTTTCTTTTTTGTTTAGAGAGCTGATTCAGAATGGACTCCTCTTTGAGTGCAGCTCAAATCCGTGAGAAGTTCATTGACTTCTTCCGTCGCTATGAACACCAGTACGTCCACTCGTCAGCCACCATTCCACTGGATGACCCCACCCTGCTTTTCGCCAATGCTGGCATGAACCAGGTTTTCAGTCCATGCTTCTATGTGTTTTTCGCAAATTTCTCTGCTTTTCTTCTCTTTTACATGTACCCACTGACGTAGTTAAGCTTAGTTCTAAGTTATATCAAAAACTGTATGTTAAATTTTTGTATCTCTTCCTCATAGTTCAAACCCATCTTCCTCAACACCATTGATCCGTCCCACCCTATGGCCAGGCTGCGTCGTGCTGCCAACACTCAGAAGTGTATCCGTGCAGGAGGTAAACACAATGACCTGGACGATGTGGGTAAAGACGTCTACCACCACACCTTTTTCGAGATGCTGGGCTCCTGGTCCTTTGGGGACTACTTTAAGGTATTAGATTGTCATTTTTTTTTCACTTGTGTCACTTTTTTGGTGCCTTAATGTTGTCTGCTAAATACAGAGTGATCGATGCAGAAAACACAATAATGTTGTGTCCTTACTGTGGCTGAACAATTTTTTTCCACTGACTTGATACAGAAGGTTAAATCTACATGGTTTGAGGTCCTTTTTCCAGGAGGGAATTAAATCTGCATTGCATGCACACTGAGCTGATTGACAGTATGTGTACATGTCTCTATTACATGGTGTGGATGAATGCATTGTTATGAGGACATGTTAGTCCTTACAACCTCACTTTTTGAGGGGTCAAACTTGATTTTAGGATTCAGGTTAGAAATAAAAATAAAGCAGGCTCATTAAGAAAGTAACTTTATTTAATGTGCAAGAATAACTTTTTAGAATTTAGAACAACAATTTATTTTTATTTTTTTTTTAAACCACTCTTTAGTACTCTGTAACAAAGCACTTTCTGTCATACTGTTTAGTTTAGTTTAGTCCTCTGCTCACACTGCATCTTTCCACCTCCCTGTGCAGCACCTGGCCTGCAAAATGGCCCTGGAGCTGCTGACCCAGGAGTTTGGTATTCCCATAGACCGTCTGTATGTAACATACTTTGGGGGTGATGATGAAGCAGGTCTGGAGCCCGACCTGGAGTGTAAACAGATTTGGATCGACTTAGGGTGAGTCTAGATTTGTGATTGAGATGTATTGGTGAGGTTGTCAGATTTTGCTTTTGCTTTGGGGCATCTTTGAGCAACTTCTAACTATTCATTGCCCACTGTAAATGATTTTTTACCCTACATTGACTCCTGGAAATCCCTCCTCAACAAATTATTTACTGCTGCTTCACAGAATTTCACTGTAGCTCTGCACGTATGCTTCAAACCTCTGTTTGCCCCTATTTAAAGTAACTGTGAAATGTTGTGTGCCATTGCCACACTGTGTACTCCAGCATTCTAGAAGTTTGTCTCTCACATTCTTCATTTCTTGACCTCATTTCACATTGTATCTCACTATTCATCTTTTCATGTCACAATACAGGAAACATTTTACATTTGAGTTAACAAGTGTCATATTTTAATAATCCATGTCTGTTCAATTCACAGCACTTTGTTTCCACCTTGCAAATTTGTCAGATGTAGTTTACCTGTTAATAGAACTGATGTAATGAAAGCCTCTCTCTGTGTGTTGATGTTTTTCTCTCAGGGTGGAGGACGTTCGCATCCTGCCAGGCAGCATGAAGGATAACTTCTGGGAGATGGGTGACACTGGTCCTTGTGGCCCTTGCAGTGAGATTCATTATGACCGCATTGGAGGAAGAGACGCATCTCACCTAGTGAACATGGATGATCCCAACGTCCTGGAGATCTGGAACCTGGTGTTCATCCAGTTCAATAGGTAAAGGGTTCTCACTCGCACACTGACCAGGGAATGTTAATAAATCTTAAAGGGGACAATATACATTATCAATTTATCAATGCAGACATACTGTTTAAACCTGGACTGTCATTTCTAATGAGATGTGGCCCAAATTATGGATTTGTAATAAAAAGAAAAAAAGTACAAAGCGTTCGTTCATTTTCAGTCAGCATTGTTTACAAGTTTTTAAATTTTTTTTAATCAAACTCATGCAACTTTTCACACACACCAGCACTTAAATTATTTACAGTTGTTCTGATAATATACTGTTCTGATGTCATGTCTCATTCTGCATCTTCACTGACACTACATGAAGACATTAAGTTCTTGTGACCGACAGCAAGTCTTGCAGTATGTCACTGCATGTTACATGCGTTTTTGCATTTGCTGGTGACACAGAGCCCCAAAGAAATAACTGATTATGGGCATTATTAAGCTTGATTTATAGTTCTGTGTCAAATCTATGCTGTAGGCACAACATTGTTAATGTGCAACCTTGACCCCTACACCGTAGCCTACTCTGCAGCCTGACATGCACCTCTCCAGAAATGTAACTTCATGCTGTGGCCATGCAGTCTGCAACAACTGTGATTGGTTACATCACATTTCCTTGTTTATATCTTTTAGTGGCCGGACAAGCACAGAAAATCCTCCTCATTCTGCCTCGGTTGGTTCAGTGGTCGTACAGATCATCTTCTCTTTTATCTGTGTTGCAATAATTTCAGTAAAAGTAACCGCTTTTCAACATCTATTAGTTTTAACTCCACATGATGCTGCTCAGTTTATCCATTGTTTGTCAGTGCCGAAGAAACGCAACACAGTGGGATAGACACACCACCACCAACTAGCGTTTTGGTGGTGTAATTGCAGGGCGACAGTATAAATGCTCACAATGGTGTAGGCCATTTGCTTTAATCTGCATTGTAGGTCCTGTGTAGATTCAACATAGGACCATAAATCAAACTTTAGTTTAGACAAAGGGACATCTTGTACTGTAATCTTAGGGGGTGTAACTGTGGTTGCTTCATTTGATTGGTCAGATAAAATCCCTGTCAGGATTTTACATAGATCATATAACATTGCTTATTTGACAGCGATCAGCAGATGAATTTAGTATTTTACCTTTAGTATTCCTGCTAAAGTCACACATTTAATTGAAAATCATGTAGTTAATTTGGTATGCTTTGCTTTGCTTAACACACCACAAATGGACCTCCACTTAAAAGTGAGACTCACTCCTTCAGGCAATCTCAGTCTGGCTCTTTGGTCCTGACCAGAGTTTGGTTCAATGTTTCCACATCAGCCCAAAGAATCTGTACCAAGTGGGCCTTTAAACCAAACCAAACAGGTTAAGTATGAACACACCCAAGTGTCATTACAGATACCAGTAAAAAGTTTGCAGCACAAAAATAACAGAGAATTTGTGTGATTTAAACAGCTGTCTGTTGAGCTTACGCTTTATTAAATGCACCAGGGAGAAAAAAATGGACTTGAAGCGTTAAAAACATGAATCCGTCTGTCAACCTGCCATTCCATTTTTCTCATGAACAAGACCCCGCGATACTTAAACTGCTCCCCGGAGACCAACATGCACTGACTTACTGCCGGCAACGCGAACCAACCTCTTACTCCGGTCATACAGGGAACGGACAGCCGGTAACAACGAGCCCCGCACCTCACAATCCTGAAGTACCTCCCACAGGATGCCCACGAGGGACACGGTCGAATGCCTTCTCCAAATCCACAAAACACATGTAGACTGGTTGGACGAACTCCCATGAACCCTTCAACACCCTAGTGGGGGTATAGATCTGGTCCAGCGTTCCACGGCTGAGGTGAAAACCGCATTGTTCCTCCTGAATCCAAGGTTTGACTATCGGCCAGATTCTCCTCTCCAGTACCCTGGCATAGACTTTCCTGGGGAGGCTAAGAAGTGTGACCCTACTATAGTTGGAACACACTCTCCAGTCCCCCTTCTTAAAAAGGGGGACCACCACCCTGGTCTGCAAGTCCAGAGGCACCGTCCCCGAGCTCCATGCACTGCTGCAGAGCCGTGTCAGCCCCACAAGACTAACAACAAAGTTTTTGCTTTAAATTAGGTTTTGCTCACAAATCTGAATGGTTTTAGTTTGGCTTCCTTTACAAAAGGCATGTCGGGGGGATTGAGGAGAACCACAGAAGAGTTCCTTAACTACCTCAACAACTTCAGCCAGGGTAATGGTCAAGTCCCCTCCCGAGTCCCCAGGCCTGGCTTCCTTTACGAAAGGCATGTCGGGGGGATTGAGGAGATCTTCAAAGTACTCCTTCCACCAGCCGACGACATCCTCAGTTGAGGTCAGCAGCCCACCACCTCCACTGTAAGCAATGTTGACAGAACACTGTTTCCCCTTCCTGAGCCACGGGATAGTTCTCCAGAATCTCTTTGAAGCCAACCGAAAGTCTTCCTTCATGGCCTCACTGACCCCCTCCCAGGCCCGTGTTTTTGCGGAGCAGATTTTTTTTTTTTTCTTTTTTTTTTAAACTACAGCAGAAATTTTGGATTTAAATTACAAAAACCTCTATGAATTCCAGATTTTTTTTTTTTTTTTTTTTTTTAAACTACAGCAGACATTATGGATTTAAATTACAAATAATAGATAAAGTACATAAAGCTTATAAAACACTAGTGCAATGGGATGAAATAGTGCAGAATAAGAAGTTAAATGAGTTAACAGTTCAATGGATGTAAATAGTGCAAAGATAAATGTACAGAATACGGAATAACTTCCCAACTGCAGCTTAAATTTTATCTTGTATACAGTAATTATTCAACTTTATCCTTTAATTTTTCATAATTAAAGATTTTTTTCAACTTCCACAATTGTTCCGCATTGCATCTCATCCTCACCTATTTCAACACTGACATTAAAGTGCTTGAGAATTGTGCACTTGGAAAAGTCTTTTGATGGACCTGGGCTCGGCAGCAGTTCTCTTAGTAATGAAGTGCCTATCTTGTAGCTATCAAATGCTAACACTTTTTGGCACTATTTACAAGCAGCAAAGCCACTGATAATGTTGCTCTCACTGTCTGTAACCACACCGAATTTTTCCCATATGTCTGACTTGGCCTTTGACAATGTATTTATCTACAATTTTGTATTCAGCACTAGCTATTTTTGCATTTAGGTTATTCATTTTGATTCACTGACACCTGGCCTGTGTTGATGTCTGAGTGACATCCTATTAGCTGGATGTGTGTTGAGGGGTCAACGGTTGTGCCACAGGGTTTCACAGTAAATGTATTTGTTATTTAGGCTTGAAAAAATTGTGCTGGGTTAGATGTTTAAAAGAAGCTGCACTTTTTATTTTTTAACTTTTAATTGATTAAATGCTGGCAAGTGAAATAGTCTGTCTTCTACCTGTGCCTGAACCTGTGAATTAATATAAACATTTATTTATTTATTTTTTTACCCGCTGCATATAATTTTTTGCGGGTACTTGATCTGCTGCAGGAATCTGAGTCAAAGAAATTTTAGTTATTTACAACTGTACACATTAGTAGTAGGCCTATTTTTATGGTAAAATAATGTATTAATATTTCTCAAAGGGTGATTTATTTATTTAACTACTACTACTTATAATTTTACAAAACACTGCTTGTGTGTGTGTGTGTGTGTGTGTGTGTGTGTGTGTGTGTGTGTGTGTGTGTGTGTGTGTGTGCGTGCGTGTGTAAATGCATAACAGAAGGCCCAGGACAGAAATGATACCCAGATGAAAATGAGAATAATTCCTCTTAATGGGGAAAAAGGCCAAAGTTTGACTAATGGAGAACTCTGTCTGATTTGTCCTTTTACACATGGGCAAGTACAAACTACAGTTTCCATAGCTGAACAGTATATTTAGCAAAATCCAAACACATACACACAGTAATGGGAAAAACCTGTGTTTTCCTGTTATAAGACTGCATCATTAAAAGTAGATATGCTCATTTTCTGTGAGGCAGTGTTGGTAACTGTTGTTTCCGGTTCCACTCTGCTCACAGAGAATCAGAGACGGTGCTGAACCCGCTGCCTAAGAAGAGCATTGACACAGGGATGGGTCTGGAGCGGCTGGTGTCTGTACTGCAGAACAAGATGTCCAACTATGACACTGACCTCTTCATCCCATACTTCGAAGCAATTCAGAAGGTACTGAAATGCCTCAGATACTTGTACTGACTTGCTTTAAAGCTTGTTGAGTAATTGTCACACTGTGGGAAGCAGCTGGTTCATCTGTACTGGAAGTTAGCAACCACAAACATCTCCAACACCAAAGTTTTTGCTCTAAATTAGGTTTTGCTCACAAATCTGAATGGTTTTAGTTTTGATTCTGGCCGGTCTCTTAACTTCTTATTAGACAGTTAAGACCTTTTAGCTGCAGTTATCATTCAGCATTCATATACTGGACACCCGTCTTCCAAGTCAGCTCCTAAACAGCTTGTAAGAGATTTGCCGTTTTATCACACAATTCAAAGTACACACAAGCAGTTGGCAAAGTGTTAATTTTCATTTTTAATGATATTACATGGCCTATTTAATAGCATTTAATTTTCATTCATTTTTTTAAAATAAGTAATGTACAGAAAAAGCTCATGTCCAGCCACTTCACATGTCAACACATGAATTTTTTTTATTTTATTTTTTTTTATTTTTTTCTGCATTAACGGCAAAGGCCACGAAAAATACTGCAGCCATTGTGCATAAACACTTCTGCGTGCTGCAGAGGTGTTTTTGCGTCTTTGGACAGACGACTTCTCACACCAGTTGTAATTTAAACCTGAATCTGAATGCTCTCTTTGCTGCTGAAACTGGACTTGCCAGCTCCACTTCAGCCAAAGTTTTTCTCAGGAAGTGTTTCAAAGTTGCTTTGAACACTGGATTTCTAGATCTTGAAACACTCACTTCTCCAGAAGAATCTGCTCCTTCTGCACCCCTCTGATCTATCACCGACATGCCTTATGGCCTCCAGTCTATGTCAGTTCAACATGCTGACAGTTTCCAGATAACGAGATGCGTTGAGTATGGTCTTAGTTTTCATTCATCCACAGAATCAGCTCCTCCTTTTTTTTTTTCAACCTCGTTTACCAGTGCCATAGCGATTACTGGGATTTTTGGTGGCCTTACTGTAAGTTAGAGTAAATTGCCCTCTGTTTTCTTATTTGTCAGAATGACTGATGGCCTTCAGATTTTTTCATCATTATTAAAAAAATTCCATCAGTGACGGATAATATTTGGTTATTGTAGAATGTTTAATAGCATTGGTATAGAGCTGTAGGAATCTGTCAGAGGGCTGAGAACCACTGATCTAACACACAGTTAAAATCCAATGTTTTTTCAGGGTACAGGTGCTCGACCTTACACCGGTAAAGTAGGTGCTGAGGATGCTGACGGCATTGACATGGCCTACCGCGTGCTGGCTGATCATGCCCGCACCATCACCATCGCCTTATCAGACGGCGGCCGGCCTGACAACACGGGGAGAGGGTAAGACAACATTTCAGAGTGTAAAAAAAGAAGTGAATTTAAACCTGAAAAATATCAAAGCATCTGTAGAAAGTGCTGCACTGCTTAGTGTAATTTGTGTGTGTTGTACTTTACTGCTTTGAGCTTCAGAATTTGAAAATGTCATACTCTTGAAGTTCTTTGTAGTTCCAAAAATGTACTGGGTGATTTGGTACTGCCAGAAACACTAAAGAGTAATACTACACAAGGGTGCAGACAGCATGGCTGTGCATGTAACATTTTACAATACATTTGTAATACTTACTTGCAATATTTTGTTTCCATCATGTTTAGCTACGTGTTGAGGAGGATCTTGCGTCGTGCAGTCCGTTATTCCCATGAGAAGCTGGGAGCTCACAGAGGCTTTTTTGCCACTCTGGTGGATGTGGTGGTTAATTCCCTGGTGAGACTTTCTTCCTTCACTTGGCTTGTTGTTATTCTAGTGTGTCCATACCATTAAAATGTGTTTATATGTCTTACATTAGAGATTTCTATTATCTAAATCACTCACAGAGTTGGCATTGCATTGTTGTGTTCATTGTGCCAGGTTGACCTGTAAAATGACATGAACTGATGGACTGGAATGTTGTACAGTATGGACCTACTGCATAATGCGCTTGGTTTATCTGGGTTTATGTTCTGTCTTATTTTTTATTCTTTGGCTGTGTGGTGTATCACTGTTTTTAGAGTTTGGTACAGCTGCACTAATGGACTAGCTGGACTAAACTGGGCCTCTAAATCTAACTGGCACACAATCGGAGTTCTGGAAATGACTGCCCGGTCCCCGGTGAAGGCTGATCACACTTAAAACCATTTCCAATCTCTGCCGATCTATTGACCCACCAGTTTTTTAGATTTAGGATCCTTGTTAGTGCCTGTTTTTTTTTTTTTTAACTGTTGTATTTTGAAGTTTTTAAATGGGGTTTTTTTGCACACATTTCTTATGTGGAGATACAAATCAGTAGTCTGAAGATTTCTCATTAATTGTGATTAGCATTTTCAGCTCTAATGAGAATTTGTTCTTCTGTGGAGAAGGTATTCGGTTTTGTTTGTTGTCATCTAACAAAGGTCTTAAAATTATTTTTTTTTACTGATTTCAAAAACTGCAAATACCCTGTACCCTATGCTCTGTAAAGAGGTGCATATTGGAGCAATAGTAACATCTCACATTCAATTCATGACTAATGCTACCCCTGTATTTCTTTTTTTCGTTGTCTCCTGACTAAATTTCCTTTTTAATCTTTCATCTCTTTGCTTCTCTTATTTCTTCTCCATCTTATCTTTTCCACTCCATGCCTCACCCAATCTTTGATCCCTGCCTTCTTTTATTCTCATTCTCCAGGGTGATGCTTTCCCGGAGTTGAAGAAAGACCCAGAAATGGTGAAGGACGTTATTAATGAGGAGGAAGCACAGTTTCTCAAAACCCTCAGCAGGGGACGGCGTATTCTTGATAGAAAGATTATGAGTTTGGGAGACAGCAAGACCATCCCAGGTGAGAGACACATCATGAAAAGTGTTGCAACATGTATGCTACATGTTTTGTGGTAAGAGTTTTGCTTTATTTACAGATATTGTATTTTAAAATAGCTTTTGTTTTGGAGGAATTTCATCTTTACCTTTTGTCTCAAGGGGACAAGCATTTTTGCTTCAAACACCTCTCATACATATCAAATTGCTTTTTCCTCTCTCTGTTTGTGTTTCCAGGTGACACAGCATGGCTGTTGTATGACACATATGGCTTCCCTCTGGACCTGACCTCGCTCATTGCAGAGGAGAAGGGTATGTCGGTGGACTTGGCCGCCTTTGAGGAGGAGAAGAAGGCAGCACAGGTAAGGAGATGAAAGTAGCAGTGGAGGAAAATGAAAGATACCTTGGATTCACTTTTTTTTTTTTTGAGTTGGGCCTGTTCTGTGAGGGGAAACACCACTGAGCAGTTTTTGGTGTCAGCTCCTGAGGGTATGCTACTTTGCCTTGTGTCAGCATTCTCCAATATTGCACAGTAGGGGAGAATTAGGAGCCATGTACCTGCTGTTTAAATAAACCCTCATTTACTTTACAACCTTGTGCTAATCCCCTTGTTGTTTGATTTAGCAAAAAGATGGATTTCTTTTTTACAATACTTGGGAATCAAACAGTTACTGGTTTCGTGGTAAACTAAAAATTTCCGACTTATTACTGTTCAAAATTTTTATCATTAAAACCATAATTGATATATGTAATCTGAATACACTGGATATGCTCAGGAACAACCTTACAGCCTTCACCACACTGTAGGTCAATTCAAGATTGTACACTGGCTTCACTTCTCTAAGGCAAGGTTATCCCAGATTAGAGCTGCCTTAGTACTGTGCAACCTTTAATTATTTTTTTACACCTTATCAAAAGTATGTAAAACACTACTAGCACTCCATTTGGTGTTGCCCCCTGGGCTGCACCTGAATGGATGTTAGGCTGATATAGTGGCCTTTGGTTCTCTCCTTGGAGAAGGATTTTGTTTAAACGGTAGGAGTCGTTGCCACCAGTGAATGGCTCATGGAGTTTTAGTACATTATATATATATTATGTTCAATTAGAGAAGTTTAGGTACTCTTTAAAGGGCTCTGCTCATAGGTTTGATGATGCTTGGCAGTGTTTTTGAACCTTTTTTGAGAATATGGAAGCAGATAAGCTAGTTTTATATTTTGTTTTGACTTTTTTTCCTGAGAGAGAGACAGCAAGAGAGACAATGATAACAATAGTAACCTTCTTCTTCTTCTTCTTCTTCTATTTGCGATTCCCTTGTTTACAGAGTGGGCATGCATTAGACAAACACAGTAATGCTACTGGTCTATTGTCCTCATCTACACAAGTGCATAGTGCTGCTAATTATATTTGTGGCTTTCAGTATTATACCACATATTAAATATTTAATGTATTGGCACTTTCTCAACATTTTCAGTACCTTTTAACAATACCATGACAGCATTGATAATTGTTATAATTTTGGTCACTATAATCATTGTATTCGATTATTTTTGTACATTCTGTAATGATACCACAGCCGTCCCTGGTAGGCTAGTGGTTAAGGTACAGCGCTCTCGCCGCTGCACCCCGGGTTCGAATCAGGGTTACGTCAGGAAGGACATCCAGCCTAAAACACGTGCCAAATGTCAACATGCGTGTCAGTGTGACGATTCGCTGTGGCGACCCCTAAATGGGAAAAACCAAAAGTGACTTTCTGTAATGATGCCACAGCCTCAGACTGCAGTCCCAGCTATTGTCTATCATGTCCCAGAGAACAAATGTCTGTATACTGACAGTGCTGTTGTCACACTTGCCAGATAGGAGAGTTTGACACACACTACCTTTCATATTTCCTCCTCATCCTGTCATGTACACAAAATTAGCAGTATATAAGTTACACCTAGAATCTAAGCACAGTAGCCCTTCAGTAAATCCTTTTTGTATGTCAAGAGTTGTAGAGTTCTAACTGATGGACAACAAGTATGTGTGTGCAGATAAAGTCCCAGGGTAGAGGCGCGGGAGACCAGGACCACATCATGTTGGACATCTATGCCATCGAAGAGCTGAGAAACAAGAAGATACCCTCCACAGATGACTCTCCCAAATACAAGTACACCTCTGATGAAAACGGCAGCTATGGTTGGTGATAAATACCCTGACAAACTTACCTTAGTTTAGTGGCATGTCTGTATTTTCAGGACATTAAGGCACACACATCCTGTTTGCATGTCTAGAGTTTCAGCAGGCCTCTGCCACAGTTCTGGCTCTGCGCTGTGATCGCACTTTCTGCAATGAAGTGACCACAGGTCAGGAGTGCGGTGTGGTGCTGGACCAAACGTCTTTCTATGCTGAGCAGGGTGGACAGACGTTTGATGAGGGCTACATGCTACGAGAGGATGACAACACAGAGGATGTAAGTGCAACTAAATATTTCTAAAAGTAAATGCTATCTGATGAAAACGGAATGTGGATGTGTGCGCCTGTCAGTGGTTCACTGATTTTGTTTGAGACTGTTTCGCAAAAAGTGGTCTGAGGTTTTAAAAAACCCTCGTTAAAATAGAGCTGTTGCTTTTGTCCCCAAAATACAAATAAAAAGTCCAGATTTATGCAAAAAACACCTCGCCTTTAATTTTACTTGGGCAGAAATGACAGTTACACAGCTGTCATTTCTAGTAAGGACTGGCCTTACTAATTTGTTGTTTTTCTGCTGAACAAAAACATTCCCAGCTATGATATTCCTACTGTTCTTTCTCCATTTGCAGAGAATGGAGTTCACAGTGAAGAATACACAAGTTAGAGGAGGTTATGTTCTCCATGTGGGGACCATCTATGGAACCCTGAAGGTTGGAGACCGCGTCACCCTACATGTAGATGAGGTGAGATCATATGCAGTATTTGAAAGATCTACAGTATCTTACCATTAAATCCAGTTGATAGTCATGCATGGTTGTTTTTTTGTTTTTTTTAAAAAAGCTCTGTTAATGTTTGTGGATACAGCTCCGAGTTTGTCTGACAAATATCCATCCCTGTTCTCATTCCAGGCTCGTCGAAGACCCATCATGAGCAACCACACTGCCACGCACATCCTCAACTTTGCCCTGCGGAAGGTTTTGGGAGAGGCAGACCAGAGGGGCTCCCTGGTTGCCCCTGACCGCTTGCGCTTCGACTTCACTGCTAAAGGTGCAATGACCACAGAGCAGATTCGCCAGACTGAGGAGAGCGCTTGTGACATGATAAGAGATGCTAAGGTAAGTGGGGTAGTACAGATGAAAATAGGCAGCACTCAGAGAGCGCAAACCTCCACCAAGGCCATTTGCTGTCCCCATAATGCCATTCCACATAAACGCAATATCCCCATCATCGTTTGACCCTCATATTATGATTCCTTGACCATGAAAACCTACTCCCAGTTTGAAAGCTACACCAGAAAAACTAAATTTCAGTAATGGCAGTTTTCTTCAGGATCTAGCTCAGTAACTTTGGAGGAAATGTCAGATCTGTCTCTACTGAGTCAGTAGAGTTTCAGATACAATTTAGTTGCAAGCTGCAGCAGTCTTTGTTGTCTCGCAGTAGCGAGTTTTCTGTGAGCTCTACAAATGTAAACATTCCAGCTCACCACATCCAGAATATGACTTGGATCCAGATCAAACTTAGGTGGGTGATAGATCTTTGCATTGTATTGCAAAGTTGTAGGCAGAGTTGGAAGCAAAAATATTAAAACTGGCCCTATCTCACAGTGGTGAAAGATTGTTTAAAAAAAATTCCTGGATCTGGATGATGATCCAGATCAGCACCAAAATTTTAATGGATTATTCTGTGGGCCATATCCTGCCTCTCTAAAAAGTGTCATTGAAATTAATTTATTACTTTTTGAGTTGTGATGTGAACCAACCAACCAACCAACACTGGTAAAAACATTGCAGAGGTAATATTCAAAGGAGTTAGTAGCCTTGAAATGGCAAGAAAATGTTGCCTTTCCTGACAGTTAGTACTCGAGAGAGAGAGAGAGAGAGAGAGAGAGAGAGAGAGAGAGAGAGAGAGAGAGAGAGAGAGAGAGAGAGAGAGAGACTAAATAAAATTATAAATGCAACACTTTTGTGTTTGCCCCCATTTTTCATGAGCTGAACTCAAAGATCTACGATTTGTTGTACACAAAAGGCCTATTTCGCTCAAATATTGTTCACAAATCTGTCTCAATCTGTGTTAGTGAGCACTTCTCCTTTGCCGAGATAATCCATCCACCTCACAGGTGTGGCATATCAAGATGCTGATTAGACAGCATGATTATTGCACAGGTGTGCCTTAGGCTGGCCACAATAAAAGGCCACTCTAAAATGTGCAGTTTTACTGTATTGGGGGGGTCCGGAAACCAGTCAGTATGTGGTGTCATCACCATTTGCCGGACGCAGTGCAGCACTTTCCTTCGCATAGAGTTGATCAGGTTGTTGATTGTGGGCTCTAGAATGTTGGTCTACTCCTCTTCAATGGCTGTGTGAAGTTGCTGGATATTGACTGGAACACACTGTCGTATACCAGAGCATCCCAAACACGCTCAATGGGTGACATGTCCAGTGAGTATGCTGGCCATGCAAGAACTGGGATGTTTTCAGCTTCCAGAAATTGTGCACAGATCCTTGCAACATGGGGCCGTGCATTATCATGCTGAGGTGATGGTGATGGATGAATGACACAACAATGGGCCTTAGGATCTCATCACGGAGGCTCTGTGCATTCAAAATGCCAACAATAAAATGCACCTGTGTTCATTGTCATAACATACGCCTGCCCATACCATAACCCCACCCCCATGGGCCACTCGATCCACAATGTTGACTTCAGCAAACCGCTCACCCACACAACGCCATAAACGCTGTCTGCCATCTGCCCTGTACAGTGAAAAC